AAATAGTCACACAGCACCGTTCTTGCACACACACACATGCACATGCATTGCCTCGCTGACAGGCACCCTCACCCCAAGGCTGCCGATGCAGTGCCMAGTGCCCTGGACATCACGCAAGGGCCGTGCTCAGGTCAGGCTGTTGCCTGTGGGTGGAGAGGAGGGCCCAGGCTAACAGTATGTCCAAAGCTGCACTTTCCTTCATCCATGCACTGACTCAGCCATGGAGGGAAGACTCTGGGTCGGGTGCTTGCTCTTCCTCTATGTCCTCCTCCTCCTTCCTTGGTCAGAGGGGATGTCTCCTGATGAGGTAAGGAAACATGGGGACCCCTAAGAGTGACAGGCAAGAGTTAGGCAAGCCTGTGTCCCACCGTGAGGACTCTTGGATTGGGGATCAAGTCATGGTTCCATAGGGACACTATGAAGGAAGAGAGCGAATCCTTGTCTTTCCCCACTTCTGCTCAGTGGGTCATAGGATTCCCTGCAAGAAACATTCCAGACAAATGGAGTGCTCACTGCAGGGTGTACTGCAGGGTGAGATACAGGTGACAGTTTATTTGAACGGAGCTCCCTCCATTCCCCAAGCAGTTTTGCTGGTGTGAAGTCCTGGCGTTTGAAAAGGGAATTTCCCAGAGAAGAGACCATGTGCCGTGTGTGACAGACTTCCTGCTTCCATGAAACTATCTGCAGGTGCATCTTCTGCATGCATAGCAACCACAGGATCTTGGTCTGTGGGTGTTGTTGTGCTGTGTGCTCATCATATCTGGCTGTTGTAATTCAGCTCTTTCCCAGATCTCTCAGCATCACCTGGGAGTGCCCAAGACACCTATGTCCATGAGCCTCTAATATATAGATGTCTCTAAGGAAGATGCAAGGGGTCCCACAGGCTKCAGCAAGCAGGAGGTGCCGAGCAGTCTGGCCACAGTGCCCAACGCACATGCCCTTTCCTTTGGGAGAGTAAGGAGGGAGTGATGCCAGAAGGCAAAACATTTTGGAAAGGGGGAGCCAAATATGGCAGGGAATGTAGGGAG